TGAAAATTGGTCTAAATAAGAAAATAAATCCTAACACCAATATCTTTAATTCAGTCATTAACGCTGTACAGACGTTTAAAGAGTTGTTTACATGACGTCACAATGTTCCGCCAAATATCGCGTGCAAAACAAGACGCATTTATGAGTAATATATTACTGCGCGCTGTACAATTGCAGTTGCGTAGCAAGCAAGGGGGTTCGTAACCATTTTTTTTTGATAATGAAATTAAATAAAAAGGTTATTTTTACGTTTTTTATTCCATATTTCACTCAAACGAAAAAATATCCTCTTAATATTGAATTTAAAAAAATATTTGTATGCTGAGCAACTGTTTAAACGTGACCCCCCCCCCCCCCCGCAAAAAAAAAAAAAACAACAACAAAAAACAAAAACAAAAAAACAAAAAAAAAAGCAACAAAAACAAAAAAACAAAAAACAACCAATACAACAATACAATAAAACTAACAACAAAAAACAAGTTGTCAAAGTTAAATTCAGTTTGCATGTTTAAAAAAAAGTTAAGCAGATATTAATTGACAGACTCTGCTTCAGTGTTTTATATTTTGTTTGGCAATAATATATTTTGTGTAGCAGTGATTTTTCATGGTAGATAGAGGGAGAGGATAATAAAAATATTTTAGTTTAGACCTTTTATTTAACCTCCACTTGTTTAAACAGTTAAAAGTTACACAGAGACTTTGGAAGTTTTTAAGAGCTTCGCATGGTTTATTTACTTCAAATAACTACATAAAATACTTTGAAATATCATCTTTTATTTCTTTTTATCGCCATTCCTTGACGGCGATATATAGAATTAACAAGATTTGAACAGTTCTTCTTGTATACACCGCTTGCCTTTAGCCAATCAAAGCGAATAATCTAATATCACATGATTACAAAATGGACTCGCCCAACCGCCATTTTTGTCGGATTACCTATGCGTACAACTGAAAAATACTATTATCAATGTACGAACTCAGTACCAGTCTTTACGTTCTTGCAGGAAAAACACAGCAAAATGCAATATTTTGCTTCATGTCTTTTCTGATTAGATAATGTAGTCTAAATAAGCGTGCTTTCTTTGTTTTCTTTCCAAAACCTTGCACTTGAAGAGACAAATGCTTTCTTCCGGGCGAGTTTAAACTATGAGAGTTGTATTGCATCTATAGTACAGCAGGTCAGTTATAGTCCGTTTCAACAAGAAAAGCAGTCACGTACGTTAGCATGAATCATTCGCATACATAAATTTTAATGTAGACGTCAAAATATTTAGACTAGAACGAAATGGTAGAGTAAATCAATTTTTTTTGTTGGCTTTATGTGTTGACTACATACAATAATGGTATTAGGCAAGAACTATGCTCATGGCTTGACGGCGATTCCAAGCATTTTTGGAACTGCTAACACTTGTTTCCATTAATGATAACTAAATTCAACTGAGTTTTGAATGATATCACTATAAGAAAACAACATTTGTTGGTCATTGAAACCAAAAGTAGAGTTAAATTACCTACCTGTGATCAACGGTCATGCAAGTTGAGCAGCCAACCTTATCATGACCAGGGCAGTAGACATCTATGAGTTTTCCTCCATGGTTTTCACATCTTTGTCTGGGTAATTCTTGTTTTTCCTCACTCAGTTGTTTCACTGTGTCAAGTAACAGATGACCTCTCATTGCTGAAAACTTATTGTGATCACCCACACATTTTTGGCAAAGGTTTTCATCACATTCTACACAGTGTTTGATAGCGGCTACATTCTTCCCTTCTTTAGTACAAGGGGAACACGGAAAATCATGTTCTATGTCCAAACCTTGATACCTAGATTTTCTTAATTTACGCCCATCAACTGCCATGTTTAACTGTTGGCTCTCGCCTCACATATATATTTAATTTTGAGATAAGATTGTATTAAGTTATCGGTACGCAATGTAGGTCAAGCGTACATGAAGTTCACTTTAGATAAACAATTATCAAGCTAAAATAACAAAAATAGCATTGTTAGTAAATCTTATGTTTTCGATTAATAAAAAAATGTATGTTCGAAAACTATGGAATGATCGAGAGGATAAAATGAATAGACCGTGGCGTTCTCTCACATAATGGACAATTTGACGTCAAATGCCTCTTAAAGCATGTTATTTACTGTCTTAAAGAGACTACTAATATACCGTAAGTCGTCATTTTGCGATGACAGGTTTAATATGACTCGAAGGGAATTATTGTTAGTTAGAGCATAAACGTGTTAAATCAGCGGTTATGCTGAGGCTTGCTGTATGGCATCATTACTTCAGATAATTTAATGTTCTTGTCTAGATAAGAACTCATGACAAATGGTTCAAAGCATCACCTAAAACCATTAAGGCAAAAATTTCCTCCTTTTACATAATATTATAATTATCATTATTACACTTATTATCAACATCATTATTATTCTTATTATTATCATTTGTCGACTGCGAAGCAGAAGAATATAATATAATTTATAATAATGCGGACTTACAAGATTGATTTTGCGATCATCATCAGTGACTGATACGCTCTTGTTCTCACTCCATGTACCGCTACTTTTTTTCATCTATAATCACATATAATGATCTCTCACAATGCATTGTTAAAATATTAATATTCTTAAATTAACTTTTTTTCTGAATCATACAACAGTAACGTTATCAAAATACCATTTCACTTAAGGCAGCCTACTATTATATTTAAATACTAAGGAAAAGCATCATGTATTTTCTATCAGGCAAAAAACGAAAATGATAAATAGAAATCTAATACATGTAATAACTAAAGCTCAAAAGCGCTCCTTCTTTTGATGTTAAAATTCATATGTGCCTGCGTGAAACTTTAAACAAAGACTATGAAAAAGTGAATATCCTTAATTTACTACTTCTTGTATAGTTTTTTCTATGTAAATCTAACGGAAATAAACTGACAAGAGACAGCCATTTTAGAGGTTAATATGATATGTATGATAATTGATAAAACATTTAAAAAACGATATAAACAGCTCATTTATATGAATTGTCTGATTCTTTTATACATGTCAAAATTTTTTATATGTTTTTATGCAGATGATAGCATTTTGAGACAGTTTTTTTTATATCTTATCTTAAGCATATGATGCTTTGGGTATTACACCCAAAATGGCGACCAGAGGAGGTAACAATTGCTATGTGAAAAACATCTGTTAATATTACCCATATAAAAATAAACAAAACTTATCAATTTTGTATACAACATAAATAATTAAGTTGTGATGGTTTGATGAATGTTATTATGAAATGAATAAGCAATTACATTGCTGAAATCTTTTTTTAAAAAAAGCACAGCAACTGAAAAAGCATAACATATAATTGAGTGTGTTTTATATATTAGGTCAAAATCTATTACATTTGTGACACATCTTTGATAGTACGTAATACGTCATTGACACTTAACGTTATAAGAATAATTCAAGAGTTTCTATTTTCAACTTCCCAAAGAGTCAATACAAAACAAAACGCCTTTACGAAAACAATCAGACTAAAGTTAACACTTAGTAAACGCAAATCTGAAGGTTAGGTACGTTAGTAAAACGGGCCCCGAGATCTAGCCCTTTTTGGAAGTGTGATTATCCAGTGCTGACGTTTATGTTATATTTCAAATGGAAGTGTGATTATCCAGTGCTGACGTTTATGTAATATTTCAAATACTTCACTGAAAGTGATAAGTCTGCTTTATGGCATTAATTACATGTTACCTTTTCAATTTAAAATTGTGTACTGTTTCATATTGAGATAATTATTTATATATATATCTGTTGTTTACATGTATACAATCTTAAAACTATGATATCTTTCTTGTTTTTAATCTAACAAACAATATTCTATGTTAGTGTAATGGATTTGCCCTGCATTTGATTTTGAACAGTTTATGTTTACAACGAATACAAAAATTGCGCTACCAACAATATATTTAAAAGGGAGTGGTAGCATAGTGGTTAAGGTGTCTGCCTCTTAATCCTAGGGCCATTGGTTCAATCCCTACTCGGGTGCAGGTTTGTCTGGCTTTAGCTTTGCTTGTGGCAAGAGGCAATTCATTTTTAGTTGCAGCCAGTTATTGGCTAAATGCATTCAACTATTATGGTGATATCATCACAAAGCTGTATCTATGTATAATTTTAATCTGTTCTACAAGTCCGAAGTGCTGTTTCGTTTTTTTAATCGTACCTAAATAGATACACAAGAGACTGGATACACATGAGGTCAACTTTCAACAGTTATGCTGAAATGCCACATATGACCAAATATGACCGCCACAGATAATTCTGACTAAACTCAAAAGTTGTTCAATTACGCCAATTGATCTATAGCTATAATGAGAATTAGAAATGATTGGTCGCTTATGCAATGCTACAAGCTTAAAGTCATGTTATTGAATGGAACATATATGTGACGCTCTTTAAACCATCAAAAATGAGAAGTTAACATTTCATTAATGAGGCTTTTATGCCCCAACAAATATGCCGAGAGCAGAAAGCCGCTGCTTTGTCCTTCCGTTCTTTTGTACTTCTTTTGCGCTTTCCTACATTTTCTCCTTGTAGTTTCATTTATTCTTCTTCCTTGTATATTTTTCATTATTGTAGTTATATACTTTGGATAGTCCTATATTATATAGATATCAAGGTCACAAGTGCTTAAATTAGTTTACTACTCGCAAGTACTAAAAATCTGTAATTGATGATGTTTTCAATATTTGGTAGGAATATGCCTTCCCAGCAGGCACATCAACGTTGTTTCAACGTTGAATTGTGGTCAGATTTCAACGTTGAAATAAGGTTGGATTTATATTCGGATTTGAAAGTTGAAACAACATTGAAATTTCAACGTTGATACAACGTTGCAGTGTACAACGTTGAAGTTTCAATGTCATTTCAACGTTGAAAACCCACCATACTTTAATTTTTGGATATAAAACAAAGTTACCAAGTTTAACAAAATATCAAGACAATATTAAATACTTCAGATATTTTATTTAAAAAATACAGTTCAAGTGCAGCTTAAATTCACTTAAATAGTTTTAACAATTAAGCTACAATCTGTTCCAATCTTTTCTTCTAGATCTTTCTGGGTATGTCAGGTGTTTGAGTACTTCTTTGGCTGTCTCTTACTGCTTCTGCAAATAAAAATAAGAAGTTGTTGACTTGGTCAATCTCAAATTATACATATAATTACTCAACTTAGTGATTTGTTTTTATCTTAAAATGCTTTTCTCTAAGATTTACATCATAAAACAGCAAAGAAATTGAAACATAGCTAAGTTTCATATTGACAGCAAATACTGTATTATAAGACAACAAAATATTTTTAAAAAGAAGCTATTTAAAAGTCTCACCTATGATTGGTAAGAAAAACTGCTCCCCGTCAGTTCCCTGCAGCATATTCACAAGAAATTAACATTCTAGGCTCTAGCTTAGACCATTTTATGCAGCATCCTGAAATCAACAAAGTTTAACATGTAAATTTTTTATAAATAATGTTACAGGAATATTCAGAAAATAATATATTTTAAGACAAGATAAATATCCAGTAGTTGAAAAATTTATACTTTGTATTGTAAATTAATTCAAATATATAATTAATTAATTAATAAGAATTTATTTCAATTTAACAAACCTGACAGTCCTTTTCATGTTGAGTGTATGGTATACAGACTACAGCTGAAATACTCTAAATTTCAGCAAGGACCAGGATCTAGAATATAAAATAATATATAATAAAATAGAAATATATTTATTATTCCCTATAAATTTATGACTTTTCATCTTTAAAGTTTAACACTCAACTTTGTTATTTAACTTAATAATAATGTTTTTTTTTTCAAACTAATTAACACTCTGTATTGTACTATCACTAAAATATAAACATAGACATATTTATATATATTGTCTTGGGACGTAAATTATGTGGGCCGAACTACTTAATAGGTTTCAATTTTATAATTGATTAAATTATAATTAGGATATAGTACAGACAAATGTTTAATAATATGAAAAATAAATTAAAGAAAGACAAAATTTGTAAAATCATAAATTGCCAAGGACATCATGCTTACAAGGCCTACCGAACCCAAATCATTCAATTAGGTCGCGAAAACGTGTCAAATCAACTCAGTCATGTGTTTTCATCTCTCATTTATTTCATAAAGTAAATTAAAGTAGAATTTTAAGAATAAATAATAATATTTTAGAAAATAATCAGTAGACTAAAGTAAAACATTACGGTAATACCTTCGAAATCCAAATAAATTGCCAATCGTATTGTTTTCAAATTTTCCAAACAGCGCCACCATTTGCACGAACGATAATCATAGACAACAAACAAAATCATTGACCGCAACAATAACTTCCCCTGACCAGCGGTATTTTATAAACGGGGTTTTGACTAATATCAATTTATTAATTAATACTATTCATAAAGAACTAAAAAATAAAACAACAAACAACAAAACATATTAACTAACATTTAAAGCGTTAATATAAAGTGAAAAATTATTTCCAACTTTTTTTTTTGTTTAAGCGCTAATTTTGAATATACGGAAAAAGATTGTTACGCAAATTTTCCTGACAAAAATCACTTACAGACTAATTCAATAAAGGAATATAATAACACAAAATTAGTGGTATAAAGGTTTATATATGATTAAACTAAATGTAAAACTTCGACCATAAACAACGTTGAATCAACGTTGTATATACATTTGCAATATATCCGTATGGTCGTCCATAGTTGAATATTGGTTGAACAACGTCACGACCATATTTCAACGTTGTTTCAACGTTGAAACAACGTCGAGTGCCTGCTGGGTTTGGATAGAGTTTGAGGATCATTGGGGTCAAGGTCACTAGTGCTTAAAATGAACTATTCACTTTTCTTTTACAGTCTTTTTTCATTAACTGAAGTCTTTCGTGTCTGCATTGTTCCTCAGTTTTAGTAGAGCTTAGGGCAGTCAAGGTTATGGTATCCGGTGCTAAAAATAGGTTTTTACATTAATTTATGGTTATACAGCATTTATCTATCAAATGATTTCTTTCATATTTGGTGTGTAAATACGGTGGTCTTCTAAGCTTTTTTGGAGCTTTGGGTCACTTTGTTTAGGGTAAAGGATTTCGTTATCTAAAATAGTTGGACTTATTGATAGATTAAATCAAGGTCATTTGTGCTAAAAACAAATTTTTACACGGTTGCTTCTACAGCCTTTATTACTTGACAAATACATTTCGCATGGACATATCTTGTGAAAGCCTCTTTTGCTACGTTAATTTTACTTGATGTTGGCTATAATTATTGTTACTTATGATTGGCTTTTAATTTAAACATGATAATCTTTTGAACAAGACCTATAATCAGACCAAATTTGTTTTGACCTTGAATTTGAAGGTAAAATTAATGAATCTTTCTTACATTTGCTATTACTGGCTATGACTGTAATGTAATTGAATGAATTACCACAATACTGGAGCATAACTTCTTTGAGGACAATGTCTTGAAGAAAATTAAAATTACTCTGATATTTACTCATAGCAAACTTTTCACTGAAGGTCAATTATTGTAAATTTTCATTTTTTGCATTGCATTATATATGGCCTTTACTTTATAAGTAATGTGTAACTGAGGGTCGCCGGCTGGGCCTGCGCTTTGGGGTCATGCGGAAAAATTAGACTCGCCGGCAGAGACATCCAGTATTCCCTTTGTAAATGATTGTATATAAAACACAAAACGTCCAATGTTCAGTTCTTTCGTTTATTTTCACTTTGATAAAATGATGATTATTTCGCAAACTTAAAAATTGTTCACATATGCATGTATTTAGAAAAGCTAGCACCTGAATTATTTTAAGTATTTTTAACGTTCTTGGTGTAACAAGTTCTATAGTTGTAATTACGACTTGATATTATTCGTGAAGACTGATTTAAAATATGAAAATCAACAAGTTACTGAGAAATTATATAGTCATAGTTATTAAGCCTCAAAACACATAAGAAATAAAATGTCATTATATAATCATAAATGGCTTGTTTTATAAAAAAGACTAGAAAAAAGATAGCCTGCCTTAATCAAGCCATAAAGTATTAACATTAAAAGGATATTTTTTCAGTAGACTACTATGACATATTTATACAAGTGTTGTGAATGAAAATGATCAGTTAAGAATCTTAAAGTAATTTATATAAATATTTATTTAACATGATTTGTTTTTCAAATTTATAACGAAGTTAAATTAAAAGATAATATTGAAATGATTCTGTTATTCATAATTAACGTATTTAAAGATTTTGACATGGAAAATGCCATGTTGCACGTCACCTATCCTTATACAATGAGTGTCCTCAGTCATAGTCTTATTTTATAATGAATACATTAAAAAGAGACATACACAATCATGCAAACCAATCGGAATTCCTTAATTATACAATCAAACATACGGCATTGGTCATAAGTATTTATTTCTCGGAAGTAACATCATTTGAAACGTCAATGTAAAAAGCACTAATCAAGTTATCTTTTTTTGGTTATTTTCATATTTATATGTAAGTCAAATATCATGTTTTCATAATTACACAATAACATTTTATGTGAACATCTATATACAACATAATTGTGAATTTGAAGGAATAGCAAAATACATGGTATTCTTTTAATGATAATCAAAACATAAGTTATAATGTTAATAATAACTTTTCTTTTAGAGGAAATTTTACATAAGATATAAAAAATATGTCTATTACAATATAAAAGAATACCTATGTTACATTTGCGACAACAATAAGGCAAATGAAGTCTGTAAAAAAACACAAAAAATACATATCTGTTTGGCATTATCTCAATATATTACATGCAATTTGTTTTGATAAGCCTTTTTTGGCATAAATTAAATTTTCAACAAATCAATTTTATTATGAAAACTTTGTATTCATATTGAATATGATTTTAACATCCTCTTGATACTACTTATTTCAAAGTATATCATATAGACTCGGAACAACCTGTTTGACGTCCATTTTCCCAAACCCCTTTCAAGTTAGTACGCCAACGTTTTCAGAATTTCTTCAAAACTCAAATGCAATAGCAACAAAAAGTCAAATATGGAAACAAGCTCAAAAGTATTTGTCAATGCAATTATTGTACAAACACAGCCTTTAACAATGTACATTATTATAGTTTAATAATGATATTCACAAATAAATAACATGCCATAAGGTAGTTTTTTTAATTTGCTAAATACATTTATTTAACTTCTTAAGATTTACCTTCTACATTTGCATTTATGAAGTGACAAATAGTTGAATCACTTCAATAACATTTTAATCACATATATTACTTTATTAGAGCATAATAAATTCCTTTTCAACAATTTATTCTAATTTTGTCCATGATCCCTGTAATAATTTTCAAAAGCTGAAAACAGTACATTTTCTCAGAAAGTGCTGTTTCAGCACTGAACTTCATCAAGTACCAGTAAACATTTGAGAACCAATAAAAAAATAAGCAAACATCAGAGAATGTTTTTGATAAATACTACATAGTCTCTCAATCGGAGCACCTCGGCCATTATTCTTAATAACTTGTCCGAAGTTTGGTGGAAAAGGACCGAGATGATGCGATTGATAGTCTCTATGCTCTGTATCATTTGAAATCATCCAATAAATTACCTGAACATTTTAAATTAAAAAAATCAAAATATTTTCAGTGACACATACCTTCCATATTTCACAAACGGTAATTTGATTAAATTTCAACTCGAAAACACTCTAACATCACACCGTTTGTTTTCCTTATAGACAAATTAATTAGTTACTTTTAAAGTATAAACCATTATTTTGTCACTTGTATCGCTGGAGACAAGAAGCCTAGACCTTTTGTAATCGAAACACAGACCTATAGGATTTTTTATACCATTTTTTCCTGTCAATAGTTCTACTCGATCCTTCCCGTCATGTGACATCAAAAGAACATTGTGTGATAAATTAAAAGCAACACAGAACTGACTCTTGTTTATCTTACAGATACCTTCAGCATGAGAGAATACGTTGTTATCTACATTAATGTTTGTCATGCCTCGCGTTTTTGTCTATGAGAAAGATACCTTTATACGCGTCACTCACAAAAATATCCACTGTCGAAATCGGGAATGCTACACCTACAGGACATTTTATCTCACCATAGTATGATGTTACCATTTTTCCAGTAAGTGAATATACCTCAATATGACCAACACCTTCTTTACGTTTTTCTGATCCGCCACAACAAACATAGATCATCCCGTCATTGTAAGCAATACCCCGACATCTATCACCGACTTCGAACGACTGTTGTAACTCCATTTTATCTTTTTGAGAGATAAACTGGACTTTTCTATCATTAACCAGAGTAACGGCAAGCAATGACGTTCCAATTTGGCAAATGCCATAGGGACTGTCAGCAACATTCAGTGAAGA